GCCAAAAGAAGCCTAAGCTTTCGGTTTCAGGACTCCGTAAGGATTGTGGGTCATACCAAATGCGAAATTCTCAAGTGTGTTGAAAAACATTCGAAACTAATTCCATACAGAGCTGTTCTGAAAATATAAGCTGACAGCCACTCCTTCGCACAGAAGTGAGATCCACTATCCCTACCTGTCCACGCGACCAATACCAGATATACAACCTTGCTGCAGCGATATTCCTCCGAATTCATTTTTCACATTTTCGGAGATTCAATCCCTGGGAATAACTCTAGTCTGTGATATCACTTTAGCTCAGATCAGTCAGAAGATTGATTAGAAGTCGCTTCGGATGACTAGTCATCTAGTGCACCCACCAACGAGTGAACACAGCGGCTTTGTGGCTCACTGGTCTTTTATGGATCTGAAAACTACTGGTCGTGTATCTGTCAAGAGCATTACAAAATCGAAAACCCTGATTTCGCTCCAATTATTGACCATTAAACAGACCCGCGTTTCTCGCTTTCAGGTTACCCTGACATAAGTAAGCGAATGCAACAGAGTAAACAGACGGCTGTTGGACTGGTTAGCGGTGACTGAACGGCAAGACAAACATTCAGCATTAGATTTGTGTCTGGTAGCTGACGGATAATGTCTGGCTGAGCTATCGAACAAATGTTGCCTCATTGCATCTTATCTCTAACGGGGTTACAGGTGGGAATAACTGAGTCGGGAAACACCCATTTATGTGAAAACTTCATTTGTTTTCCCTGGTTGGCAGCGTGACCAAATGTGTTGATTGGTTGATGAAATTAAGCAGTGATTTGCAAACAGTAGGTCTAGCATGCGGGTAGCTATAATCTACGGTAAGACGTCATATATGTGTAAACGGTGCATGCAAGTGACTCTCTTGTATGATGGAAAGATTACGAGTAGGAGAATAGTTCAAATGGGTTGCTTTTGGCAAGAGGGATTTCAGCGGTTTATTTGTACAGATCCCAATGTGAACGTGGTAGACAGTCGCACCTTGGGAAGTATCATACAGTCATGAGGTCGGATCTAGAGCAAGATTGTGAGGTGCATAGCACTTGTCGAATTCCCCTGCTCGAGTAGCGCATCGACGTGATTTCTTGGTTCAGCCCATGCACTGGTTTTCTCCAGGAATTCGGCTACTCAAGACATACATGTACTGCTAACTTTTCACGATCCTCGTGCGGAATAAGAAAGCATCAAACCTGAGAGAATTGGATTTGAAGATATTAATCACAGAAAATGAGTATGGTCAATCCTGAAAAACAATCCATGCGTATTCCAGAGTAGGTGAGTCTCTCCGTACCATTTTGACCAAACCAGGATCACTCCATTTAGTTGCTTCGGGAAGGCCTTGAAAACAGTTGGTGGATTTGTATTCACCATGTGTGAGACAAGTTTTAGTGACCGCTTGAGTTTGCAGTCAATGCTCAAGACCATTTACCGTAACAACTGTTCAATGTAACACAGACCAGTTTTGCCTTGAAACTCGTTTCGACCTGTTTCTGAGGGCAGAGCACTGCTTTTCAATTTGCTGGAATAATCATATTATTCTTACTATATTAGCCCATCCGTGCATAGAACTAGTGAAACATTGTGGCCTTGAGCATGCCCACTTTTGTGGGAGAATTAATGAATGGAGGTCTCTATAGAACGTACAGGAAGGACGTTTTAGTACTACCCTGAGATAAAACTTCGCAGCTTGGCATATCATGAGTGGAGTACACCAACCTGGATGGAACCCACCGAAATTACGGTGGAGATTCTTACACCAACGGTGTGCCCATTACGGACTGTTCCTGCCAGGTACTAACCTATTCAGTAGGTTCCGAACCTTTCGTTTCCCATACGAAATTAGACATAGTAAGGTGAATTCGAGACTAGAATTAGATAATGCGGCTACGCGCAAAATTGTAACTGTTGTGTCGTCCGGAGGTAACCCGTCAACTTGCGTAAGGAAGAAGCCAAAATCGAGCACAGGAACAGGTCTTCTCTTTTTTGTCGCTAAATAATGCGGTTATATACATCGGAAAATGGCAGGAATTGGCTGGGACTTGCTCTTCACCGAATAACCAATAGGAAACAACAGTTATGCATGATCGGTTAGACAACTAACGAAAAGCAACGACCAATGGAGTCACATGTGAGAGTGGAACGATGATAAATCAATAGGGGCTCAGCACGATGCAATCTGGTGGCTGAACATGTGATGACGACAAATATAAGCAAAATGTGAGAATTGATCAGAATCGATCAGTCCGTAGTTAAGACGAAATTTTTGGCAATTAACAGTTCGTTCTGGTAACATCTCCCCCTTTAAAAATTTGGTTACCTGGGCTATGCATAACTTTGTCTTCTTGGGTCAACCTGGAATGGTTGCACGAACCTTCGTTTTCGTTTCGGTCTCGATCCCCTTTCGTGCGGATTTGCATCGTCCCGCTTTTGATTCATTGTATTTGCTGCTCTGGTTTCACCTATATCCAACAACTGGTTAAGGCTCAGTTCCCCTGTATTCGGCGCTGAGTTCATTGTTGAATGGCGCATCTTCAACTGATTCGCATGGCGGATCCACCTTTTCTTTCCGACTTGGACGTCGTATAAGACGTTTCCACGGCGCCGCAGGATGCATCCAGGCTGCCAGGTTGTCCGATTGTTTCCAAAATCCAATGCAAGTACTGAGTCACCAACACGGAACTTCCTTTTGCGTGCACCATGATGTTGATTGAATTGATGTTCCATCTTATGATTCCTGACTTCTAATTTTGGTCGTTTAGGTCTGAATACTGGTTTGGCATCTGGTAACAGCGTCAATTTTGCTTGCATTTTTGTGCAATGGCCGAGTTTGGAATCGAAAATGTCTGCGTATCTTGAACAAAGTTGCTCCGTTGAAGTTACTCGAACATAGGTCGGCACAGCAGTCCGGCGTACATCAGCCTCGGATTGGGTACACACCTTGTTCAATGGCATGTCCAATAACCCCAAATTTTCAATCCAATCCATACCCATGAGGTTAATTTCGGCATTGGACGATACGAACAAGGTTCCTGAGAAACGTATACCCCGGAATTCCACTTCACATTCCATTTCACCGTCAAGATCCATTTGGTCACCGGATGCGTTCTGCGCCACCAATTCGGTTGGTTTGAGTATCGGACGTCCCAGCTTGTTCCAAGTATTTCGAGATACCAGTGTGATATCAGATGCCGTGTCAAGTTGTAGTTTCAATGAAACGTCATTGACGGTAACCGCTACGTATTTTCTGTACAAATTGAAATCAGTTCGAAAGGCTGCCAGAATAGCCTTTGTTTTGGACCAAGATCTTCGAAATCGGTTGGGCTTATGCTGTTTGTACGAGGGGGTTGGACGCACTCGTATGGGTTTGCGATTGGGTCGACAGTGTGATTCTTTGTGACCGATTTTCTTGCAGTTCTGGCACTGATGACTCTTGAATGGACAGAAACGGGAAAAATGCCATTCACCACACTGCCAACAAGCGCTTGGAGGTTTCTGATTTCGAGCAACATCGTGAGAATTAGTGTGCTTGACCATCGTTCTGCAAACCTGCGGCTCTTCCTGATGACCGGGTCTCTCGATCATTCTAGTATCGTGTTTCAAGTTTATCAGCCTTTGGCACTCGGCTGTGATGGCTTGCAACGTCAGGTCTGGCTCCTGTTCCAGTTTGTGGAGTATATGTGTTCGGATGTCTGCGTCTGAATGCGATTGTAGGCTGCAGACGAACACGAGACTTTTCAGTTGGTCTGGTGTCATGGTAGCCAACTTGAAACGCTCACACTCCTTGTTTACTATCCCGGCATGTGTGACGAAATCATGGGAGTCACACTTTGTGAGCTTCAGGCAATTATATCGGATGCTGAATAGAGATGCCTGTTCTCCGAAAATTTGGGTCAGGGTCCGGACAGTTTCATCGAACGAAAATTCACGTGGGTTTTTCGGCAGCACAAAATTCGAGTATCGTTCGTGTTCCACTGCACCGAGTTTTCTCAGCAGGAGACGAACTTTCCAAGAATCATCTTGATTTGCCAACTCTACTCGGAAGATGTCTTCATACTTCTGGAACCACGATTCAAATGTCACTCCTGATAAACCATCGAAAGCGAATTCGGATATGGAAGCAGCAATGGCATCAACTGATGGCTGATTCTTGTCCACAGCGGTTTCGGACTTGAGGTTCAATTTTTTTGAAAGCATTTCAATCAGCTGTTTCTGGGATTCTTCAAATTGTTTCTGTTGGATTTGGAGGAGTTGCTGCATTTGTTCGAATGAAATTGCCATTTTGTCCACACAATCCGTCGCCAAGGTTGTTGTGTCGTCCGGAGGTAACCCGTCAACTCGCGTAAGGAAGAAGCCAAAGTCGAGCACAGGAACAGGTCTTTTTTTGTCGCTAAATAATGCGGTTATATACATCGGAAAATGGCAGGAATTGGCTGGGACTTGCTCTTCACCGAATAACCAATAGGAAACAACAGTTATGCATGATCGGGTAGACAACTAACGAAATGCAACGACCAATGGAGTCACATGTGAGAGTGGAACGATGATAAATCAATAGGGGCTCAGCACGATGCAATCTGGTGGCTGAACATGTGATGACGACAAATATAAGCAAAATGTGAGAATTGATCAGAATCGATCAGTCCGTAGTTAAGACGAAATTCTTGGCAATTAACAGTTCGTTCTGGTAACAGTAACCCCCTGGTGTGTGCGTGACCCTTTATTCGTTTCGGTGAACAGCGAATCAGACATACTGACCTGGCTTGATCGGCACACCTGTACTGACCCTTACACCTGTTCTATCCCATGTTGAGGAAGTTGCACTCGCACAATTCGGAATACTCTACAGCCTGCAAGTAGAGTAATAAGTGTCTTCGAAACCCGTTCAGATGACAATTACTGGCTATCTACCCATTCCTTTGAATAAATCGTTCAGTGCATTCTTATGGTGCAAAGGAAACAAGACGCCTGAGATACTACCAGGTTTTCCAGGCTTTGACAGGAGGAATAAAAAATAGGGTTGTTTTCGAACCATGGATCTTGCGTTCAGCAGCTTCGTGCTCTAACCGATGAGCTATTTCGAGATGTATCCCCATCGCTCGATGTTCCCCATTGGCGACGAGCATGAATAGATGTACAAGCAATTCAGGCTGGCATTTATCACCTCCTCGATACGAAGTTGCGAGGCTTGGTGGAACCATCTCCCATTCTGAATGGAAGTTGCGGATGCCTCCAGGACTTTCGGCTAAAATGACCAAACAGTAACCAGATCACCCAGAAACAAAGTGGAGACATAATCCCCGAGTACCACGATTCATCGACTGTTGAGCCAGCTACTTCGAACATCAACTGAATTGACTCCACACCGAATCCCGATCCCTTCCTTCATTAATAAATAACCAAGGTCCATAAAATTGATCCTTACCTATGTGCCAGGACTATCCAGAGATGACACGAGACCTCACAGCCACAGGACTGTCGCCTACCTTATGCAAAGATGAAGGATCTTTTTTGCTACACGAACTGATGTCGTTAGCGAAGAAACTTTAGATTGCCGGGGTAATATTAGCCGAATGAAGAATAGTGATGCAATCCACAAATGCAGAATACTGTGTGCATGGGAAATTGATTTTGGTGAACGCTGAATCTAAACTTCTATGATTACCGTAAACTTAAGGTGAGCAGGATGGTTTCTGTGCGGTCAGTCGCTGTACTTGCTATGAATTCGTCCTACGATAGCTGCTGGAACTGTGCCACCAATATGAAAAACCAACCATGCCAGACTTTCTTGCTGTCAAAGGCAGGTTGGACACCGTCGATCCAGTCATTCTAATGAATTTACTGGTGAGGAACTGTGGGGTAGAAAAACTTCCTCCGCATACATCTACACAAGAATGGACATACAATGAGCCTCGCCCACCTTTCAAAATCTCAGACGGAAGGAACCAAGGTGTTCGTTACCTCCTTCTTATACGACTTTCTCACTGACGCAATGAACACTGCAGAGTAGAAACGCCGCGAAACAAACCAAAAGTGAACCACTCATCGTGAATGCGCGGACTTCATTGTCTTTTTTCATAATTCAGTACGAGAGGCGAGCACACTGAAAAACCATTGCTTTTGCATAACCTTTTGACTTTATCCCGTTTCCACCACAGTGCAACCTCACGTTGTTTGATTGGCGATCATCTGCAGCCACCCTCATTCTCGGTGGTGACGCTCTTCAAATCGTGAAGTCTGCTTACCGGGAAGTTTTTTGTACCATTGATCTGAGGGATGAATAATTTGATGAAATTGTCAAACCTCATACAACACTTAGAAACCTCTGCCACCCGTGAAGTAGACAAGACAGTAGTCTATCTCCAAAGCAATGTGTCTATAGCGCAGCCTTTGGTATTCGAGTGAAGAAATTTCAGAGACAACTGTTTTTGATCAGCAATAATCAAAACATATCACCTGTATCTGGTTACGGTGGGCATCAACATTGACAAGACACTCCGTTGTGTTGGGAACAGGATACTAATGCATACCCCCTACGCTGATTCTCAAAAAGGAACCAACTAATTTGCTCAGCAGCAAACTTGCGAAAAATGTATGGATCCGCTTCCCCCCTTCAATCTGCTGAATCATCAGACTTTCTGGGATGGGGGTCCAAGGGAAAGGAATGCTTGAGGCAAACTCCGACATGATAAAAGTAGGAAGCCAGTGGCATACTTAGTGTGATATTTTACGAACGTAAATCGCGCTTTGTTGTACCTTTCTCCGTCTGTTCTCCTTCACGGACCATGTTGTTATGGAACAAGAGGCGATACAATTTTGTTAGATCTATGTTTATTAACACAACTGAAGGCGCCACATAAGAAGTGGTAAGTACCAAACTGCTCGACAGAGAATCGCAGACCCCTTGAGAGCATGTCAAAGAAGACCTAATAATACATGGATGTTTGTAGCTGTACGCGGAACACTACGCGGAAACTGTTGTGACCATATTGTTCCATATGAGTTTCATGCATCTTTAACAACCGCTATAGCGCTAAGGAAAAGTTCCGTGACTGTAGAGGATGGTCATATGTATTGAAAATCAACACCTACTCAACTATGGTACGGAGGACAAGCACAAATCTGGTTGTTTATTCACATTCCACTGTATGCAGGCATAAATTTACAATTCTCACAAAATATGAACCGCATCTTTGAAACAGACTTTGTGGTCTAGTGATCATAAAACCAGTGTTTAGAGTGGATCCGTACTTCCAGTGTTTCTTCATCGTCTACTTTGGTAAGCCCCACCTTTCTAGACCCGGTGCTATGCCGCTTGAAGCCGAATAACGGTCACGGTCTTCCACCACAATCCACGCAGTAAACCACACTTTCAGTCAAACCACGAGGGCCAGTTACCAGGGCAGCGTGAGCATACAGCATCGTGAGCGTACAACATAGTGAGCATACAGCATCGTGACAGCAACCGCCGTGGCAACTGTTGGCTTAGGCAGCGCATGCGGCAGCGCGACAGTGACCGGCCCCAACCAATAAGACGAGACTTAAAGACCCTGGCGCTACTGCAGCGCAAGCCTCCGTCACCGAGACGATCGAAATGTCGCCAACCGGTCAACCGTGGTTTTATCTTTAAGCAGCGTATCGGGGTGGTGACAGGATGGCTTACAGACAACCTTGGTAGTATCGGAGGGAAAACAGGTGAAAAACTAGTGGTAAGTTGACACAGTATGGTCGAAAAATTTGTCTTGATTATTTTAAGGAAAGTTGTCAATCGGTATTGAAAAGTAGTCAACGATACTTGCGGTGTTTCGAAAATAAACTTCAAATTTGCTATTCAGCCATTCTACATTTGAGGATTCCAGGCTTTTTAAATGTGGGATATGAGACATTTTGCGATAAGAATTGAACGCAGTCTGTCTGTAAGCTTTTGTGACTAAAGATTGCCGCGGATAAACTGAAGTTTGCGTTCACGTCACAAACAGTTCAAGTGTTTGGTCATAAAGAGATTACGGTAGTGAAATACAGTTTCAAAATACAACCTCAAAATAATCGCATGGTCATTTTTTGTTATCTTATAGGTCTGAAGAGGAACAATTATTTATCCCACTTCACAAAACGACCAAAATTGGTTTACAATTTAAAAGTATCGCCTCAATATCCCGGCATTTTCCCTATTGACCTCTGTTGAACCCTTATCGGCTGATGGCTGGGTGTTTCCCACCCGCTCGACGG